TTTAGTGAAACTGACGCATAGCCTAACGTCAGATGAAGTAAAAACGTTAATCTTCATTAAGAGTCCTAATCATAAAGACAGTGCATGTTCACAATAACAGTTTAAATAAATAAAAGAATGATTTAAACTATGTTTTACTTCTGATATAAACAGTTAAATTAAATATGACATTCTCATTAATGGAGTTAAACACTTAAACAACATGAAATCATTACTGAAGTTACAAAAAAAATTTAAATATACCTATTTGTTGTGGATGCAATGCTTTTGAACACTTTTCCCCTGGCATGCTGTGTTTTAATGTTTTAACTGATAGCTAATAGCAGATTGTCTGAAAAAATTGTTTTGTGCAAATAATGCACAACAAGGTCTATCTGTTTCCATTAAAATATAAATCAATTAAAAATACTATTTGGCCAGTGGAAAAGATTGAGAAAACTTTCTCTGAAATGTATTTAACACTATTTGATTCATTTATTCAAAAACAAGGCAAGGATAGGCTACTAAAAAAAAAATTATGTTTGTAATAATGTGACGGCACATCCGCATTTCATATTTTACTAACGTCTTGTACCGTTAAACATGGTGTCACGTGGATGAATAATCATATGCAAATGATATGAGATGAGGATATGCATAGTAAAACTAGGCGTTGTAATCTCCATATATGGTTATTTCGGGGAGGAGACGCATGTGCGCGTATTCTTCCGCTGACTGGGATTTATAAAGTGAATTATGCTCAGGTTCTGGCGTACTGTATGTACGGTTATAAATCTGAAAACTTTTGTGCATACGCAATTACGTGCGTACGCACACTCTAAGGATGAAATCTACGCAAAGTTTTATATATGAGGCCCCAGATTTTTACAGTATGATGCTGACGTTTTTTTTTTACAGGATTATTTCTTACAGTGCACTTTTTGTAGCATATAGTTCCATTTTCCTGTTGATGACAGTGATATGAACATTTCAACCAATATTATGCCTGAATATTCCTGATGAATTCCTAATTAAGCTCCGCTGAGCCGCCAGGTGTGTGTGTTGTGCTCGAGAAGGTAGATCTCTTGAGCACTTCATCATAAAGGTTATCATAACTGCTGTAAACATGACGTCTCTTAAAACATAATCATGCTGATTTCTTGACAGGCTCATTTACCACACATCTGGATCCAGATGTCATCGACACGAACGCGAATGAGCGCTCAATAAACTCGCATTACTTTTACTCTACAGCTTTGCTTTTAATTAAAACTTAATCATTATAAACGTAGCCATCAGAGGGTCTTAATCACAACAGACTTTCATTTGCAACGAGGCTGCGGCGAGCTTAGCGTATTAAAATTAAACCACACTATCATGTTCCTGCCTAGACAAGGCTCAAAACGCCAGAGAGCTCAAGTTCAGAAGAAATTATTTCCCAAATCCGATCAAGAGGAACCAAGGTGCCGTACCGGCATTCATTAGCAGCCAGTGTGTAATCAGCCGGAACGAGGAAGTGCCAAACGGAGAAGTTTGTCATTTCTGTAACTTGAGTGTGTTGTCAGGGATTGGAATGTGATTCATCTTCTTCAAGTAATTTCACTTTTTAAAGTTTAAACCCTCTCTCTTGAGAGTTGAGGGTTATTGAGTGAAAAGCACCTGCGCCACAGATTAGAAAAGGCTTAGATTCGACCGCAGACGCGCAGGTGTGTGTAGTCTGTAGTTTGGCTCACACACCTGACCTCTCCTGATTTAAAGTCCCACTGAGGAGCCTTGGATCTGCGGTTTTGTTTGATGAGGTAATTTCCACTGAAACAGGAAGATAAGGCGGGGGTTATTGAATGGGTCCTCCCCCTTTTCAAATAGCCAATAGTGTTTCGTTTACCTCAAAGACTGACAGCACCACAGAAGCGAACGCGAGCACTGATGATACACTGGATTCAATAGTAGAGATTTCATTCTTAACCAACAGATACAAAGACTAAAACTTGAGCGTTTGAGCAACACACACTTACATATAACATCTCCAACACGTGTGGCTCCGGGTGTGTCAATAGGCTTGTTCGACTTCATGCAGCTCTGCGCAGACCGATCGGCGGCTGACTTGAAACAGTGCATGCCGGTTAGAAATTTTGTCCGACTTGATGCAGCGCTGACTCCACGTGACTGTGACATATGCCATCAAAGTACCGCGAGAGCGTTACGAGAGTAGCCGGAGGACTCAGCCAGCGCAGCTTCTGAAGAGCGGCTGCACGAGCTCTGATGATGTCACAGCTGTTCCACGATTCGCCGGATTCACCGCATGACAACGATCACGTGCGTTTCGTGTTTATTCTCACACGTTTAGTTCCACTAAAGCTCACAAATCAGTATTTTATAACAGTAAACACTCGTTTAATGTAGTCGCAATGTTATATTGTGTCATGTTTATCATGTTTATCAAAATAAAACTGATTAAAAAAACGTTGATTCCACGTCATTGATTATAGGCTTATTTTGAACTTTATTCTAGTTCAAACAGATGCTGTATGAAGCAGTAAAGTATTGAATGAAAATGTGTCTGAAATATCTGAAATATCTGTTTATTTGGCAAATGTTGCATTTATTTCACTTCAGCTGTGGTATAAGCATGCAAACACCACGTGAGCCGTCACTACGGGAACCAGAAATTGTCCGACTTCACGTCTCCGTTTGCAGCTCCTCCCTGCCTGCACGCGGCTGTTCTCGCCGATCGGTTGCATCCAGCCGCAGGCGATGTCGAACACACCGAATGTCTCTTTGGTCAGGTGGTGTTTATAGCAGAGGGGGCGGAGCTTCAGATTCTAGAGTGCATTTGATTGGACAGAAGATCATGATGTCATACAAATCCCTGATCAATTTAAGTTTTTAAAGTTTATATCACCTAAATATACATTTTATCATTGTTTTGGAACACACCAGTTTTAAATAGCCACTATTATTTAAATGAATGACTCTATTAAAAAGCCCTCCTCACTGGTCCCGTCAGTCCCGTCCCGTTAACCGTTCCTGACATCCGTCCTCCACTGAGATGAGATCGGGGTTAACACGATAATGAACGAGAGAAATGTCAGACGCTTGATTAAAAGACACTGGAAAGGTTGGATCTCCTGAACCTCGGATCCGACACCACACACACACACGGGACCAATTACTCCACCATCAGGACATCTTCAGGACAGAGGAGTGTGTTTTTCTCTCAACCTGTCAAAACTTTAATCCGGGAGATTGGATCCTTCCTCAAACGAACACTGAGAGGAATTATCCAGAGTGTGAAGGCTTTCAGACAGAGCTGATGTGTGTGTGTGTGTGTGTGTGTGTGTGTGTGTGTGTGTGTGTGTGTGTGTGTGTCTGAAGGAACCAGAACTATAGCAAACATCCCGTTTGTCCCAGAAGGACCTCTGTGAAACCAGCAGTTGTCTGAAAACTATATGTATTACTAAAAAGTCCTCAGCACAACTATAATGATACGGCACATGATGAGACTCACTGAACTCTAGTTTAAGCATTTGCATTTATAACAGAAATCTATCGGATGATTTTTGGTCAATTTAAAACCATCGGCTAAAGCATGAAAGTAGCAGATAAAACAAACCAATAGTTTATTATCTAAAAGAATGTAATGTTCATTAATACTATATAATGTGTAAGGATGTTGTTTATAGGAATAAGCCAAATATGAGTTCATGTTGTTAATAAGAAACATTTGATGGCAAAAATACTCAGTCTGAAGGTTGTCATATCTTATTTGTGTTTAGTTTATATAATAATGTTTGCCTGTTGAAGGTTTAATGGATTAAAGGGTTAGTTCACCCAAAAATGAAAATAAAGTCATTAATTACTCACCCCCATGCTGTACCAACCCCGTAAGACCTTCGTTCGTCTTCGGAACACAAATGAAGATATTTTTGATTAAATTTGAGAGCTGTATAACTACCACATTGGCTGCCTAAGGGAATGACTCTTGTCGGCCCCGAAAGTCAATGAAGAAAATGTTTAAATATCCCAAGTGACTACCGTGGCTCAACTATATGTTTATCAAGCGACGCGAATACTTTTTGTGCGAAAAAACAAACAAAAATAACGACTTTATTCGACTATTCCTTTTCTTCCTTGTTGGCCTGAAACGAGACTTCCTTAGATTTCCACGACGCATGCGCGAGAATTGCGATCTCCTTCAACTACCTCAGTTCAGTTCTCGCGCATGCGTCGTGGAAATCTAAGGAAGTCTCGTTTCAGGCCAACAGGTCGCGAGGCTGCTTATGCTTTCGCCGCCTCTGGCGCCTTTTTCAAACAGCGCTTACTCACGTTTCTGAAACCCAAAATAACATCCGAAAATGCATGAATTTATGTATTGAACATGAAGAGGACATTTCCATCTGGCAGCCAGAAGCGGAAAAAAAAGCAAAAGTGGAGAAGAGAAAACAGGACTGCGGTAAGTGATGGAGAATGAGATGATGATGATTGATTGACTTTTGATTGGCTAATTAATGACATACAAATCGTTTTGTTGTTCAGTTCACATCTATTTTTCACAGTAGTAACATTACATATCGATTTAAAGCGTCTTTACAGAAAATATATGTAGCTAGGCTACATTTATTTTCTGTAAAGATGTTTTAAAACGATAACGTTACTACTGTGGAAAAAGAGATGTGAACAGAACAACGATTCAACGAAACGATTTATTTATCTCGAGTGATCTGTTATCAGAGGTGACTGTTGAGTAATGGATTTCAGAAATGTAAACAAAAAAAGTCACACAATCCACGTTGTTATAATTTTAGTTTAGTTTCACTTAATTTTTGCAAGATTAATTACTAGTAACGTTGATATGGTTACGTAAAAACTGTATTTAGCTAGGGGGGTTGCACTTAGCAAAAGCATGTAGCTGCTAAAGTGTTGATGTTGGACGGTATTAATGTAGGCTGGAATAGAAGAATACTGTTGGTAGCCTACAGCAGCAGGGAATGATGCGCACATCAGTGACATCGCTTGGAAAATGTCTGTTCTGCATTGAAAAACACATGTAAAAAAAGTAAATTAGTTATAATTAGCTGATAAACTAACATTGTAATAATAATAATAATATTAATAAAAATGATTCAATTAAGATCCTGACAAAAGGCTATATATTTCTTATGTAGGAGCATTACTTAAGTTCCTGTCACCACCACTTCTGACAGAAGATTGTCCAGTCCCTCCTGACAGTGAAAATGGTAAGTTTAGAGTGTCAGATAATGCTAATATAGAATAATAAAATAAATATTAATTAAGATGCTAACCATATGTTTCTTATGTAGGAGCATCACTTAAGATCCTGTCACCACCACTTCTGACAGAAGATTGTCCAGTCCCTCCTGACAGTGAAAATGGTAAGTTTAGAGTGTCAGATAATGCTAATATAGAATAATAAAATAAATATTAAATAAGTTGCTAACCATATGTTTCTTATGTAGGAGCATTACTTAAGTTCCTGTCACCACCACTTCTGACAGAAGATTGCCCAGTGCCTCCACACAGTGAAAATGGTAAGTTTAGAGTGTCAGATATTGTGCTAATATATTTCAGTATACTGCTATGTGCTTTATGAAAGTATTTTGTCACTAAATATCTTCTGTATGTTTTTAGTGACATATACCTTGTTGACATTGGAACAACAACCTGCTAACAATGAGGAAACACCACTCACTTCTTCCACATGCAGTAGTGTTGATCTTGACAAAGGTACTACAAGATTCCTAATGTCTCACGACCCTGCAAAATGGCCAAGGATTCTTTAACATCATGAGCGCTGTGAAATTGTGGGAAATGGCCCAGTCCAAGTAACCGGTGCAGTGTTTCCACAAAATAATGAAAAAGTTCCTCGACGATTCACAAAAGACAATTATGACATTTTAATGAAAAATGGAGAGAAAATCAAGAGATCGTGGCTTGTATACTCTATCAGCACAGATGCAGTAATTTGCTTTGCATGCACGCTGTTTGGTAAATGTGAAAATGCTCACAGCAAAGGTGGATTTCGCACATGGAAGAATATAGCCAGTCATTTAAAAGAACATGAGTACACATGCTGAGAATATGGAAAGCTGGCATAATCTTCAGAAGAGGTTGCTAACTAAAACAACCATTGATCAAGTCCATCAAGATTTAATGCAGATTGAAGTGCAACATTGGAAAGGTGTTATAAGAAGAGTGATTGCTATCATCTGCCATCTTTCTGAGCGCAATCATGCTTTTAGGGGCCACACAAATGTTTTATTTGACCCACACAATGGCAATTTCTTGTCACAGGTAGAGTTAATGGCACAATTCGATCCCGTTCTAAATGAACACATAAGGAGGATTCAAAACAAAGAGGTAAAGGTTCATTACCTTAGCAGTACAATACAGAACGAGATCATAACATTAATTGGAGACAAAATAATGCAGGAGATAGTTAGCAGGGTGACCAAAGCGAAGTACTTTTCTGTCATAATGGACTGTACTCCTGACGTAAGCCATACTGAACAACTTTCTGTTGTGTTGAGAATTGTGAATTGTGAATCTTCTGTTGGAGCCTTCATCACTGAACATTTCTGTGGATTCATTGATGTACAGGACACATCTGGAAAAGGTCTATTTGAGACCCTTTTGGAAAAACTTGAGAAGCACAACTTAAAGATTTCAGATTGTCGTGGCCAATCCTACGACAATGGAAGTAATATGATGGGCAGTAAACAGGGAGTTCAGACTAGGATCTTGCAGCTGAACAACAAGGCATGTTGTGTCCCATGCAGCAGTCACACTCTGAACCTGGTCTTGGCAGATGCAGCCAAGTCATCTGTGGCATCAGTCTCTTTCTTTGGTGTTCTGCAGAGACTGTATAATCTCTTTAGCTCATCTGTGCAGCGCTGGGCAGTACTGCAGCAACATGTGAAGCATCTTACTGTAAAATCTTTGTCGACAACAAGGTGGGAGGCTCGAATTGATAGCGTGAAGGTGGTACGTTACCAACTGCCAGAGATTGTGGGAGCCCTGTCTGCCCTCCAGAAATTTGCTGTGGAGAAGAAAGACTCGGAGACAATGTCCATAGCAAACAGCATTCGGAATGAGCTAATGACCTGGCGTTTTGTCCTGTGTGTGGTAATCTGGTACAATGTCTTGTATCAGATTAACCATGTGAGCAAAATTCTTCAGACCCCAAGTGTTTCTCTAGAAACACTTAAAAAGGAAACTCAGGGAGTGCAAACATACTCGAATAATTTCAGGGAAAGTGGACTTGCTGCTTGTCAAACGGATGCGAGAGAGATAGCAGAAGCTCTAGATATTGACATGACATTGCCTGAGAAAAGACAACGCAAAACATCACGGCAATTCCTATATGAGGGCAGAGATCAGACACAATCCACACCAGAAGAGTCTTTCAGAAGAGATTTTTTTCTGCCCTTGGTCGACACAGCCATTGGAAGTCTTAATGACCGATTCTGTAAGCTGGAGGATGTTTACGCTATGTATAGTTTTCTGTTCTCAAAAGAAAACATGAGAGAAGCAATGCATAGTGGACACCTCGAGGACAACTGCAAAAAATTGGAAAGAGCCTTACATGACATACTGTACAATCAGAGGATTTGATTATGGAGATCAGGGCTGCTGTCCATACCTTTCCTGATCATTCATCTAGTTCACCAAGCGACATGTTAGATTACATATACAAGGAGCAACTTCTAAATTTGAATGGAAACTTGAGCATTGCTCTTCGTCTGCTTCTAACTCTTCCTGTCACCGTTGCCTCTGGTGAGAGAAGTTTCTCAGCTTTAAAGCTGATTAAATCATACCTAAGGTCAACAATGAACCAAGAGAGACTCTCAGCACTTGCACTAATTTCCATTGAACGGAACATTCGAAGGTCTTTGGATATGGAGGACATAGTGACAGCATTTTCCGTAGCTAAGGCTCGTAAGCAGTGTTTTTAAGGTGACAATAGATTATAAATATGAAGATTTATGTACTGTACCTTGAGAATGATATTGTATCTTGATAAAACATAAGCTCTGGTCCTGTCTCGTGTCTTCCGCTGTGTTTCATTTCCAAAGAATTATGAAGTTTACTCACGGTTTGCTGTAGGCTAGATGCTGTCCGATGAGCAGAAAGCTGGAGTCTCATTACACTGTGCCTCTTTACATGACAATCCGTGGTCAAACGCTCCGAACAAACATATAATCCGTTAACGCAATCGGACGAGTTTAAAAACAAACCATCCGCGAGTTCCTGAGGCGAGTTTCATTCTGAGGTCGATCAGAGAAGAAACCAGCTGTTTAAACAGGACGTGTCAAAGTTAACTTGCCATTAAAACGTGCATATCAATTGGTTCTATTCGCTTCTGACACAATGAAAGCGACTGGCGTGCACAGGTGGGCGGGACCTATGGCGCGATGACGTAAAACTATTCGTCGATGTGTTGCTATGGGCTGACTGAGAATTCAGCTTTGCCATCACATGAATAGATGTTTTAATATTCTTTTAAATGTATATTAGGCTATATTAAAATTAATGAAATTCTTATTTTGATAGTTTGCTGAAAATGTATCGCTGAAAATGTAAAATACTCTGTTAGGGTTGTGACCACTATTAATGAATTTAATTTGATATTTTATAGTGAATTCTACTGTAATCAATTGTTTGGAAACCCACACCCTACAACTGAAATGAAACTGAAATATATCGCATTTTGGAGTGTCTCCAAAATACACACAGAAGGGAACTTTGGTTTATGTGCAGAATAAAGCCTCACCATTATGGCATCAGAAATGGAAATACAACTGAACGTTTAAGGTGCACCAGTTTTTGACTCTTTTGACTTGATTTTCCTTTGCCCTTCTGTCATATGCTCCTATGAAGCCTGAAAGTATGTTTACTTTGGATGGCATTTCTTTAAAGTTTCTGCATGGTTTGGCATCCATGGTTGTCCTCTTGACTGAAGCAGCCCTGTTTCTCAGAGAAGCCCCGGTGGTCTTTTGTGCTCCATATGCACTCACTCTCGCTCTCTCTCCCTCTATTGAGAGAACCCCCTATAAATTAACAGACACTGTGACACACACACACACACACTGGGCACCGTAAATCCAGGCCTGATAATCAGCACAGATGAATGGATGAGAAAGAAGGCAGGAATGTTTTGATGAGACTGATGCTCCAGATCATGTTTATCTGCCAAGGCTATGGCCAGCTTGACCCACCATTATATAGGAAAACTGTGTCAATGAAAGCAAACAGAGAATGGAGAGTAGAGATGCATACTAATGTTTACATCCTAAATCACAGGCTTATTCAGTCTCTCTCTCTCTTAAGAATTATACATAAACTACTAAACCCTTCCAGTAAATAATAGTACAGAAAGATACAGAATGCTGAGAACCCAAACATTGTAACGATGTTATAGTGTAATATTCAGAGGTGTGTTTCCACAGTGTCAGTAATTTCTATTCCAGCAGATCTAAATAAGAGAAGCAGCAGTACAGTAATCCATGAGGAGGACCAATAAAGATGAATAAATACAGCGGTAATCTCTGCAGAGCTCATGTGTAACGCTCTCACAGAAATTCATTTGCAGTCTGTGAGAGAGATTTCACACTTATTTATTCATACACGCCACTCCAGCTGTTTGCTTTCAACACAAAAATAATATGAACGGAGAGATGGATAAAATGGAAAGACAAAATGACAGACAGAACAGATCGAACGACCAACAGGACGAATGACAGAAAGATTAAATGCAGATTAAATGACAGACGAATAACGAATAACAAACAGAAAAAACAGATAGAACGACAGGTCGAACGACGAATGAAAAACAGACAGAACAACAGAACGAACGACCAACGGAACGAATGAGACAGATTGAACAGACAGAACGAACAGAACGAATGAAAGAACAAATGAGACAGATTGAACAACAACAGATCGAGCGAACAGACAGAACGAATAAGACAGATCGAACAACAGACAGAACAACAGACAGAACGACAGAATGAGTAACAGACAGATCGAAAAACAGCAAACAACAGAATGAATGACAGAATGAACAGACAGAACGAGGGACAGAGATTGAACGGCAGAGCGAATGACCAACAGAACGAACGACAGACAGAATGACAGTCAATAATCAACAGAACGAACGATATAACAAAACAAACGACAGACAGAACAACAGACAGAACGAAGAACAGACAGCATGACAGAACGAATAACAGACAGAACAACAGAACGAATAACAGACAGAACAACAGAGTGAATGACAGACAGAACAGACAGAACGAATAACCGACAGATCGAACGACAGAGCAAACAACAGAATGAACAACAGACGGAACGAGTGACGGACAGATCGAACGACAGAGCGAATGATCAACAGAACAAATGACAGAACGAACGACAGACAAAACAACAGAGTGAATGACAACAGAACCAATGACAGAGAACGACGGATCGAATAACAGACAGATCGAACGACAAACAGAACAGACAGAATGACAGAACGAACAACAGACAGAAGGACGGAATGAATAACAGAGATTGAATAACAGACAGAACGACGGAATGAATAACAGACAGATCGAACGGCAGAACGAACGATTACCAGAACGAATGACAGACAGAATGACAGTCAATAATCAACAGAACGAACGATATAACAAAACAAACGACAGACAGAACAACAGACAGAACGAAGAACAGACAGCATGACAGAACGAATAACAGACAGAACAACAGAACGAATAACAGACAGAACAACAGAGTGAATGACAGACAGAACAGACAGAACGAATAACCGACAGATCGAACGACAGAGCAAACAACAGAATGAACAACAGACGGAACGAGTGACGGACAGATCGAACGACAGAGCGAATGATCAACAGAACAAATGACAGAACGAACGACAGACAAAACAACAGAGTGAATGACAACAGAACCAATGACAGAGAACGACGGATCGAATAACAGACAGATCGAACGACAAACAGAACAGACAGAATGACAGAACGAACAACAGACAGAAGGACGGAATGAATAACAGAGATCGAATAACAGACAGAACGATGGAATGAATAACAGACAGATCGAACGCAGAACGAACGATTAACAGAACGAATGACAGACAGAACAACAGATCGAATGACAGACCGAACGACAGACAGAACCACAGAACAAATGACAGACCAAAAGACAAACAAATCGAGTGAACAGACAGAACGAATATCAGAACGAATGACAGACAGATTAAATGACAAACAACGATTAAACAGAAAAACAGAGAGAATGACCGATAGAATGAACAATAGGTGGATGGATGGATGAATGTACAGACCGATAAGAACGAGAGACAGCAAGTTTAGGCCACAATGTTTATTCAGTAGTGTTGTTTTAACTTATAGGTACAATACTGTCTGCTTTGTACAACTAAAAAAAAGTCACCATTTCATTCTGCTGTGCTAATAACACAATAACACACTCTAGCCATTCATGACGACACCGGCTGAACGCTTCCAGATGGTAGGCACTTTTAAGGCAAGGTTTAAAACATTTGTGAATATACATTTATATATAATTCTATATAGATTTTTTCCCATACATGAATAAGTAAGTGGATGCAAAGGTCAGATGTATACTCAAAAAACAAAACTAACAGCTAACAATTAAAACAAAAGAAAAACCTCAAATGTGGCCAAAGAATAACAGCAATGTGGAGATCAGACGAGTCTTTGGGTTGCAGATGTGTCTCAGTCCTTCGATCCGTACAGGTGTGTGTCACAGTCGGGAACGGGAAAACACAGGGATTCACGCTTTACACGGGTCTAAAGAGCACGATGCATTTGTACTGATCGTCACTGGCCTCCGGAATGGGCTTCGGTGAGCATTTAAACTGGAAACTCTTGCTTTTGAGTTTTCAGTTTGTAAAGCGGCTCCTGTAACAGAACAAATCAGATCTGCGTGGATCTAACGAAAGCGATCACTGCCGTGTGACGAGAGAGTAAACCTGGGCTTTCCTCAGAGGACAGGTCGACTCTGGGATCATCAGCTCAATAAACCAGATGCTTTCAACATCCGAGGAAGATTTAGAGATGCAACACACACGAGAGGGCCGTTTCTCACAGCCTACACACACTCGAGCGCCGAAGCACCAATAAACGCTGAACCTGTGAAATAACCAAACGAGCTGCGGGGAAACACTTAGAGTTTAAACAGACGACAGAAAGGCATTGTTCAACATCTGAGAAAATGATAAATTAATGAAACACTTATGATCAGACATGCTGGATGAGAAATGAAATCAGGACAATTATATTCAATTATTCCACTTTAAAATGTTTCTTTACAAACACATATGCTAGTTTAAAAAGTAGTCAGCGACTAAAAACAGCTCCAGAACGCAGATGTCCTCGCCGTTACAGATTGGGTTTCTTTTCAGCCTTTTCAAAACACACAGAAAATAATGTTTAAATACAGAGAGATGCTTTAAAAAAAAGAGGAAAGAAACGGTCTTAATTACAATACTCTATGCAAAAAGCTTTCCTTTACGTTATTTTATTTTTTCCTCAAACATGATTTTTTGAATGCAGAAGGAGTTTGTCGCAGTCACTGATATCGGCCCGTCACTGGTGTCGGTGAAGCGGGTTTATGCGTAAAACTCCTTGGTCGGGGCTTTCTGATAGGCCGCTCCTGAGGGTTTCCTCTCCCCGAGGTCGTAACTGCCTTCATCCTTCTTTCTCATGCGATAAACCAACAGGAGGATGAGGAAGATGGCGAAGAGGAAGCCGATCACTCCTCCCGCAATCACAGCTGCAACACAATTAGGGACTCGCTTTATTCCAGTTCAGATAAGCATGTTTCTCACACATGTCCTAACAACACTGCGACACGTTATTAAAGCATCTTTTCAGAGTTTTTGTCCAAACCATTTACATTTACGCACTTAGCACAAGCTTTTATCCAAAGCGACTTACATTGCCTTCCAAGCTCAGTAGCACCTCATTGCAGTACACAAGATCCAGGGGGCGGAGTCAGATCCAAATCTGAGGGGTGCAGTTGGGTAGGTTTAGGGATCAGGGGGTGGAATTGGGTAGGTTTATGGGTGGGTTTAGAGATCAGGGGTTGGAGTTATGTGGGGTGGGTTTAGGGATCAGGGGGTGGAGCTGGGTAGTAGAGGTCTTCACGGGTCCAAAAATTCATGCCCGACCCGGAAGAGACCCGTAATGTGCTACACCGAACCGACCCGGACCCGTCGTTCATTTCAAAAGTTGGACCCGGACCCGTGCAGACCCGAGAAATGTCATAAATGTACTGCCCGGACCCGACTCGGACCCGTCTATTATTTGAAAACTGGACCCGAACCCGGCAGGAAGACACAAACCCGACTGGACCCGCTTGTCACATATTATTTCACACGAGTTGCGAAAAATAAAACTTTTTGTCTTACCTAATTTTAGTAGTCGTCGTCTCACTTCCTGACGTTATCTGACTGAGACTGACTGTGATGCATTACAATCCACCGACAAGAAAGTTCTATCCATGTTATTTCTCTCGTTTTTCCAAGCTTAATCCACTCATTATTTCAGCTTTAAAAGTCCACTTGATGTCACAGTGATGGATGAAAAATGCAGCCTTGCACATGTAGCCTACATTCTGACTCACTCAAATTACTCGCATAATAAATGGTAAATGGACTGCATTTATATAGCGCCTTCATAGACCTAATGGCCACCAAAGCGCTTTACATTTTGCCTCACATTCACCCATTCATACACTCATTCACACACCGACGGCGGTGTCAGCCATGCAAGGCGCCAGCCAGCTCGTCGGGAGCAGCTGGGGTTAGGTGTCTTGCTCATGGACACCTTGACACTTGGTCAGGTGGAACCGAGGATTGAACCACCAACCTTTCGGTTCGTGGACAACCCACATGAACCACTGAGCCACTGCCGCTACTTTAATAACTTTAACTGTTTGCCCTTTTGAACTATAATAACGATTGCTTGTTCAGCCTGATCATATCTGTGCTCTCTGCTCTTCATTGAGTCTGAATCTGACCACCAAAACTTTAAGATTAAACAAGACGGTTAATTTATTATAAACATTGGAGAAAATGCAAAGAGCGGTTTGGCGGAAGCTCTGCTCTGGTTGCCATAGAAACATGACACGCGCTTGAGATTGCACTCCGATCGCACGTGTATTACCAGCCCGTTCTCAGCGCGTGTTATATTAACGATAACGGGTGCCATGTGAGTAGTATTTCGCCGTTTTGTTATACAGCGCGTCCTATATGACGCTAAAGGACGAGAATGCGTTGGTATTACACACAATGTTAAACAGACCCGGGACCCGAAGTAATAGATTCGGACCCGACCCGGACCCGGCTGATCATTTAAAATACAGACCCGAACCCGTACGGGTCCCGGGGCGGGTCCGGGGCCGACGGGTCTCGGGTGCACTGTGAAGACCTCTACTGGGTAGGTTTAGGTATATGTATATTGAATCTGGATCGACTCCTCCCCGTGGATTTCATGTTCTGCAGTGAGGACCATCTCTCCAAGCTACACATTTACATTCTTGACAGTTGCTTTCCCTGGGAATCGAACCCATGTCATTGGCGTTGCTCTACTGTTTGAGCTACAGGAAAGCGCTTTTTACAATACACACAATTGTATTGTGAAATTTTACAATTTCAAAGCAGCTTCACAGAAAGTGCATGAGTGCATATTACAACTTAGATTGAAAGTTATGCATTTCAGAAATGTACGCATACAAAGTCACAGTTAGCAAAAAATAGAAACAATGTAGTAATAATGCCAGTACAATGAGCTTATTGAAGTTATGAATACTTGTTTGGTAACAAATGATTATGTCATGTTACCAAATCAAAATGCACCAATGCTATATTATCTACTACATGATGTATTTTTGATTTGGTGAGGCTTCTATATTTCTGCGACGTGTTGCAATGATAGTCTTAGGTGCTGTTTACGCGCTGTATTTACTGTTAAAAGCATGTAATGTGACTCTGATTATCATTTAGTGCTCCAGATTTGGAGCTGTAAAAGAAACACTGGATAATTCACCTTGGATCTTGAAATTAAACAAATGGAAACAAGAACGTATTCTTTAACATAGATCGTTTTAGTAACTCAGTATGTATTTTTAATAGTGCGGTCAAGCGATTAAAATATTTAATCGCGATTAATCGCATTTATGTCGTAGTTAACTCACGATTAATCACACATTTTTATCTGTTCTAAATGATTTCTTTCTCACATTATTTTTTCTAATTGTAATGCCCTTATCAACATGGAAAAGTGGTTTATGTATATATATATATATATATACTTTGTATATATACAGGATGTATATGTATGTATATGTATATATGCATATATGTGTGTATATATATATATATATATATATTTTTTTTTATATATGTATGTATGTATGTGTGTATATATATGTATGTATGTGTATATATATATTTATATGTGTGTGTGTGTATTTTTTTATCTCTTTCTCTCTTTATTGTTTTATTACTTGCCCCAGATAATGTAATGTCGTTATGTTTTGTGAAAAATTCAAATAGGTAAACAAAAAGTTCAAAAAAAAAAAGAAAAAAGAAAAGTGGATCGGCTTGCTTTGTGCCAATTTTTTTTTTTTTATTGAAAACAACATTGTCATATAGCCTTCTGTGTTCAATTTCACACTAACATTCTCACTTGGAGCAAATAATCTCTCTCACAATGTAACGCCCATTTCACACATACTCCGTGTGCAGTGTGTATGCGGTGAGTGTTGCTGTGCGTATCCGGTACAGGAGCCGCACGTGCTAAAGTGCTTTCAGTGAACTGTACCATAAACACTCACTATTTTTATTTCAAAATCAGAAGTTATGCAGCAAAAGGGTGACCAGTGACCAACAGTCCTGTTATCCCAGGACATGTCCTGTTTTCCCGTCCTGTCCTGGCCGTTTTTTATAAAGTGATGTCCTGGTTTAAAAAAAAACAAAAAACGCTGGGAAAGATCAGCTTTACAGCAAAATACAGGAGATGGCCAAACAAGGAGGATGAGGAAGAAAAACAGGATAAAGAGGAAGAAAACTAGTTCATTTTTGTAAGTTTGAGAGAGGTATTTTTGTTCAATTTGAAGGTATTTCTTTTAGGTAATTAATATTTATATATTTATATTTCTAATACAGATGAGACATTATTTTTTTATCATTATTTCATTCATTATTTTTTAAACCTGTCATAAAACATGTTGAGTATCCTCTGAGAAGCCTATCTGAATTTGTGTCTTAATATAACAATTTTCTATCCACAGAGGGGGCATAACCTATTTTAATTGTATTGAAATTAATAAGGCATCTTTGAGTAATTCTCAAGTATCATTTGTTTGCTGGGCCATGTGCCCTGGTTTTTGGTAATCAAAATATGTTCACCATATGCGGCAACTTTTATTAAAATAAAAGGTTTGCCAGCTTGGCGATTCTCTTTGTACACTTTTTTCAAACTTGAATGGACGCATGCACGTTTAAACACAATTTAAACAATGCATTACTTTTATATATATTAAGGTGCATTTCTTTAGCGAAATACAGATGTGTGTACGTTTTATTTAATCTATAAAATCATTACTGTGATGTAAATCATTTTGTTTTATGCAAGGCAACATACAAGGACACGATGTCAGTTACCCTATAGCTAGCTAAATCTATATACATCAGATGTTAAAATCTGTTCTCAGAGCTGTACACTGTTATGGGCAGGTTATGGAGTCAAGTATTTTTTGTATTCTAAAATGTTTGTTGTATTCTAAAATGTAAACAGTATTATACATGTTAAAAAGAAATAAAAATGTTGCTGTATTAAAAAATGTTCTCATCTGAAATTAAGGAAGATATGTAAACACGTAATTGTTGTGTATTTTACAAAGGTTTACATGATTACGTTAATATACTGTATATAGGCTATATCTATATGTATATTTACAGTAAGTTTGATTTGAGTCAGAAGTATGTGGTAATTCTTTATACTAATTGGTTCCCTATATTGTCACTTTAGAATACTGTTTCAGGTTCTAAGTAATTCCTGAAGGACTATCTAATAATTATTTATTAATTACTAATAAGTTCCTTGTATTTTTACTTTAGAAGACTGTTTCAGGTTATAAGTAGCCTAATTCTTGGATAATTAGTTGATAATTATTTATTATTTACTAATGGGTTCCCTCTATTGTCACTGACTTTAGAATACTGTTCCAGGTTCTAAGTAATTCCTGAATAACTATTTAAAAGTTATTTATTAATTACTAATAAGTTTCTTATAATTTCACTTTAGAAGACCGTTTCAGATTATAAGTTGCCTAATTCCTGGATAATTATTTGATCATTCTTTATTAATTACAAATGGGTTCCCTGTATTGTCACTTTAGAATACTGTTCCAGCTTCTAACTAATTCCTGCAGAATTATTTGATATTTATTAATTACTAATAAGTTCCCTATATTTTCAGTTTCCCTCAGTCGTTGCCTCAAGTACATGAATTTACTCAGTGGCATTCTATGCTGAGGAAAACAGACACACACAGAGCTGTATATAAAATATACAAATAATCTGAGGTTAGTTTTGTATGACTGTTCAGTAATTACTTCTTAGTTATTTTTCTTGAACCTTAATTAGTAGATAATTAGTAGTAGTTCTTCAGGAGGTATGACAGAATTCATTAATTATTTAATAACTAATTGATACTTAACACAATCATAAAATTATATTACATACTGATTAGTGAACACATCTTCCTTACAGTAGTGAAGAAGTTGTTAATGAAGAATTACCTATTAGTTCGTCAATAATTCCTTATTAATTCTGCAGTAAGTAAGATACAGTATTCTAAAGTGTTACCGATAAACAGCCCATTCTCACCCCCAAGGCGTCACCTAACTGACGCATTGGGAAGCATTTGGACATGCTTCAATATCTGACGCTTTAGGCGCCCTTTAGCATCAGTTAGACGACGCCCTAGGATCGCGTGTACCCTACCCCCACACCTAAACCTAACCGCGTCCTCTAACTGACGCTTTCCTTTAGCGTCAGTTAGATGACGCCGTAGGATTGCGTCATGTAAGTGACGCTAAAGGGCGCCTAAAACGTCAAATATTGAAGCATGGTCAAAGGTGACGCCTTGGGGTGAGAATGCGCTGCGATAAATCCTATTCAACTATTAAAACATTCACACCGTTTTATAAAAGATGTTTTTAAATGAAGCAAGAGATGGTACATATTTCATGAGTCCTATATACCTTGACGCTCATTCCATAGGGAGCATAATCAGAAACAGCTGATCTATACATGGGAAGCGTCGCTGGGATCTTATCACGTCTGGTGAGGACACGTGAAACATCATCCCTGTCGATTACGTGACTCGAGCTCTCACACAAAGCAGAGGCAGATTATGTCCATAATTGAATAAGGAAGCCCTCGACGCTGCTGGAGGCTCGAGAGAGTGACCCAACGCAGGGAGATATGATTTATTCTTCTCATTGTGGCTCACAGGATATTAAAGAGGAGTATGCTTAAATTAAGGATTTGACCTTTGCACATCCAGAAACTGATCTGTTGTATGGACACATGCTCTGAATGCATCTCGACGAAGACTCGAATGTGCCGTGAACTCTTGAAGCTCCCAGCGAGACATGAACCGCCCGTTTAGGAAAACATGAATCCCTCAAAGACATCATCTAATATAGTAGCAAAATTATTGGAAAAACTTTTATGTTTATAAATGTTCAAGCTCACTCAATTGGGGTCAGTTTAATTAGTACTTTTATTCAGCAAGGATGCATTAAATTGATCAAAAAACGACAGTGAAGACATTTATGTTACAAAAGATTATATTTCAAATGAATGCTGTTCTTTTAAACTCTCTATTCCTCAAAGAACCCTGACAAAATTTCCACACAAATATTAAACCGTGTTCAACACTGATAATAATAATTTATTGAGCATCAGATCCTCATATTAGAGTGATTTGTGAAGGATCATGTGACACTGAAGACTGGAGTAATGATGATAAATTCAGCTTTGATCACAGGAATAAATCACACGTTACTGACTGTATACTGTATTTTTGATCAAATAAATGCAGCCTTAGTGAGCAGAAGAGACTTTAAAAAATTTTTTAAAAATTGTTCTGATCCCAAACGTTTGAACAGTGTGTATGTGAACAATGAATAATAAATATATATACAATTTATTTTATATTGTTGCATTCCTATAGATACTCGGGTGTCTTGCAGTGCTGCTGTATAATTAACAGGAGTATTTATCAATAATAATTCACAGACCTGCCAAAACTTCTGTCCTCTGGAAGAGATTTTCGGACTGCACGTCGAGCGGGGGCCGAGGGAGGCTCGTGGTGCTCGTGACGGGGTTTCGGCGTGAGTCTTCGGTGGCCGGATCTGGAGCCTGAAGTGGAGAGGAGGACGTGTTACACTCAGTTTCTGACAGCGCTGGACTCGGCATGACTGCACATCATCTGTGACCAGGAGACCCCATTTACATTGTTTGGTTTCGGGTGATTGTATACATCTCAAATAACCCAGGATCTTCTAATACCCTGTCAATCAACCACTGCACTAAAGCATTGTTGATTTTTACACGTTTATTGTTTTTTTTCAGAAGATAAGGTTAAGGTTTCATCATGTCATATTCATTATTTTAGTCAATTTTACTGAATGTTTTCATGCTCTACTAGAACAGGTTTGAATGTTGATTATTTTCCTCATATTCTCCATTGTTGCGGCTCCTCTCTTCCCAGTCTGTCAGTAACGTTCTGTTTACTTCCTGTCTCGTGAAGCCCCTCCTTCTGAAAAGCACTGTGGTCGGTTGGAGCAGTGTGTTGTGATTGGCTGAGCACTTCGAGTGTGTCTGGGAAATATCCCACCCCTTCCCATAACCGCCAGTTTAACACACTACTAACTAACTCAACCAGGCCCCGCCCCTTTATTCTGCGTATGAATTATTATAATGAGGAATACTGTGTTCGTTCCTGGAAGAAACTCAAGACTTCAGTGGAGGCGTTTCAGGAGTTCAGAAACGCTGATATAGAGAAAGAACATCCTCAAACAGTAACTTTACACACTTAAGATGGGGAAAAAGCATAGGGTTATTAAAAGCAAGTTTTCACCTCTATCCTGATTCGTTTCTTCGTGTCTTTGGGAGCATGGCGTGATGTCGATGTCTCCATTTTGGGCGTGAAGTCTTTGGTGGAGTCCTGTGTGGGCTCTGCTTTAGGCGCGATGAAGAGTGTGTTTACTGTGGCCACCTCCACAATATCCTCTCCAGCTCCTGAAACACACACACATGCTTTCACACACTCCACACAGAGGATTAGATTGTGCACTGGGAATCAATGTGGCTCTCCGTACCCGATCCCGACCCGGAGCTGAAGTCATCGTCATCCTCCGGATAACCCCCCGACCCGACGTCCTCCAGGTACAGGTCGTCGGCTGGGGAGGCGGGTTTGGCCGCAGACACTGCTATCTGCAGAGATAAAGCACCATACATGTGGGGATTAAGGCCTTGCCACACTAATCATCTTTTTCTCTCCATTTTGGCCTTCCGTCACATTGAAACTTTCAAAAACCTCAACACGCTTTCAAAAACCTCAAAAACCTTTTGAAAACAGTGTTTTCAAAACGCAGCCACAACCTTGTTTAAAAAAAATACGGTTTATTTATATTTTAAAAAAATATATAAAGTATATTTCAATGTAGAAATATTTACACGGTGAATATTTATTTATTTATTTATTATTATTTATAATATTTAAAACTAAATCTATAAAATACAATTAATAATATAAATAATAAAATAATAATACAAAAATTCTATATATATTTTTAATAAAATACAATATAAAAATATTATATGGTATATATATAAAATATTAAATAAATTAATAAAAACAAAGCTTTTTGAAAAAACTCTCCAAAACGGATACATTTTGAAAACACTGTTTTGAGGTATTTAAAGGGTTAGTTCACCCAAAAATGAAAATTAAGTCATTAATTACTCACCCCCATGCTGTTCCAACCCCGTAAGACCTTCGTTCATCTTCGGAACACAAATAAAGATATTTTTGATTGAATCTGAGAGCTGGATCAGTCCTACATAGACTGCCTAAGGGACTGGCTCTTGACGGCCCATAAAGTCATTAAAGAAAAGGTTTAAATATTCCATGTGCCTACAGCGGCTCAATTATAAGTTTATCAAGCGACGAGACTACTTTTTGTGCGAAAAAAACATAAATAACGACTTTATTCCACTATTCCATTACTTCCTTATGGGCGCATGCGCGAGAACTGAGACGAGGACGTTCTCATTCGTCTACTTCTTGTTACCAGCTGCTCACCACTTGGGAGTTTTACCGCCCCCTACCGTATAAGATGATGTGCTGATATAGCTGGAAGCGCAAAACTTTCTGTTTACAAGCAGAGGAAGATGCGCGCTGTGCATACGCTTTTCAATTTGCGTATTTTCCACACTATAAGGTGCACTTAAAAGCCTTTAATCTTCTCAAAAAACGACAGTGTTCCTTATAATCCGGAGCGCCTTATATATGGATCATCTTTTTATACGGTAGGTGGCGGTAAAACTCCTAAGCGGTGAGCAGCCGGTAACAAGAAGTAGTAGAAGGAGAATGTCCTCGTCTCAGTTCTCGCGCATGCGCCCATAAGGAAGTAATGGAATAGTGGAATAAAGTCGTTATTTATGTTTTTTTCGCACAAAAAGTAGTCTCGTCGCTTGATAAACTTATAATTGAGCCGCTGTAGGCACATGGAATATTTAAACCTTTTCTTTAATGACTTTATGGGCCGTCAAGAGCCAGTCCCTTAGGCAGTCTATGTAGGACTGATCCAGCTCTCAGATTCAATCAAAAATATCTTTATTTGTGTTCCGAAGATGAACGAAGGTCTTACGGGGTTGGAACAGCATGGGGGTGAGTAATTAATGACTTAATTTTTCAGACCCAATAGTTTCTCACCCACACTGAATCGCCTGAAATGCTAGTGTGGACGGAGAGCGATTACACCATATTTAAATGTATCCGGATTAATCTAGATGTAGCCTAAGCTGTTTTCCGGCTTTCAATGTCTGTCTCTTATTGAATCAGAGGCTATGGAACCAATTTTTTTTTTCCGTAATGTGTTTGAAAACGACTAAACTGCCCATCTTGCCACACGATGAATGAGCATTACCTTTCTGCTGGAATATGAAAGTCAGTGCCTTCTGCCTAAACACGTATTACACCGCCTGACCTTCTCATCAAAGCAGACACACAGCACATTCTGCTCCATAACCGAGAGTTCAGAACGAGCAAACTCAGCCGTTTCTGGAGAGACACTTTATGACATTTTAAAGCACAGCAGGAACTCTCCAACAACAGGTTAATCCTCAAGACCCACCTGCACCATCTCTGCAAGTAAAACATTCACCAAATATTTGCATTTCTTTTCCGAGTGGTGCAAAAACACAACTAACCCTTCATGTGAATGTGCTAATGGCAGCGCGTCTTGCTTGAATTATGTCAATGCCATTCTTCCCAGTGCAAACACACCTACTTTTGGCTCATTATGCATCGTTGGATATTCACTGACTGAACTCACTCGTTTGCTTAGCGCAATTAACGCTGCGCTAAACAGGGCTTTATTAAGAGAGGCATTTGTGTGCATATTCTAGCAATCATGGCAGCAGTTATTCATCAAATGATGAGCAAATAATGGAGAAGAACGTTATAATCGTGCAGATATTCAGACATACACACTTTCTGCATTTAAAGAGTGTGTTCAGGAGTGTGGAGACAGACTGAAGAGTCTCAGATCAGTGACGTATTGATTCCACAAACCTTATGACCCTCTTGTGAGGGACCTACTTTCTAAAATATAAAGGCAGACGTATATTTTAATGTAGAAATATTTACACTGTCAATATTTATTATTTATTATTATTTTTATAATAATAATATGTTTTAAAAATTAAATCAATTAAAAAAAATCAATAAAATACAATTAAAAAATATATAATATAAATAATTAAAATTATAATTAAAAATAATATATATTGGGGTGGGGGAAAAAAATCAATTCTCGATGCATCGCGATGCGGACGTGGACGATCTTGAATCGATTCACAAATGTCAAAAAATCGATTTTCAAAATATTGCCGGAGCGGGAAAGACGGAACTCTGAAGCACTGAAGTGCAGTGGCCGGACCATCTGTGGCATGCACATAACAGAGACGCGATGGCGCACGAGATCCAAACACCCTCCTTGTTAGGTTAAAAGCTGATGTGTGGAAATATTTTGGCTTCTGAAGTTGAAGAGGGAAAGGCACTGGACAAAAGCCACACTAGTTGTAAGCTTTGTAGAATAAAACTAACAACGGAAACACAACAAATATGAGAAGCCATGACACGTTTCCAGCCAGAGGAGGAAAAACACTCGGCTGTACCAGTCGTTATAATATTAATTTACTATATAGACCTTATGCACCAGAGAAACATGGGCGATAGAATATTGTACACATATACATCTTTAGAATATTGTCGTTGAACTTCCGTTTTTGCGGTCGCTCATTTCTATGGCATCACTGTCAAGGAGTAATTAGTGAAGTGGATTTACTTATTGTAAAGTTAACAAAAGTTATCATGAGCATTTTAATGTTTATCATAAGCATTGTAAAGCAGATGTCTTAACAAATGTCGACCGGGATTTTTTTTACGTGCAGTTCATTCATACCTATGCAAGATCGCTGTGAAAATACAGACCAGAAGTCAAAAGACAACGAACGCGACGCTGAAAAGGGGCGGGGCTACATAAGGTCTATAGAGCTGGTAAGTCCCGCCCATCCGTAAAACTCCAAGTGGACCTCTAGGTTGAAAAAGCATCAATGCAAGTGAATGAGAGAAAATAATTATTTTCTGATCCCGTTTGAATTGTGCCATGAATGTGACATTTGTTGTCTGTGAATTTTTTATATAATTTCTCATGTAACGAGTTTGACAGTATATTGTATGATTCTTTGGCCACATAACACATTTTCCCTCCACAAATCACGGTTTTCACCACGCTCAACTAGTTTGTCCTCTCCCTGAAAGAAGGTGGTGAAGTGCACCAAAGACAGACATGTTTAGCAGGATCCATGTGCTATAGTGGGGGTGATGTACAGTATATCAAACACGTCAAAAGAGTTGTCATCCACAAAGTGCTCTCACACAAAGTCTAACCGTATGAAAATTTTACCCGCTAAATTGTAGCATTCTTTACACGAAACATTATATAAAAAATTCACAGACAACATATGTTCACATTCATTGCAAAATTCAAACGGGATTAGAAAATAATTATTTTCTCTCATTCACTTGCATTGACGATTTTTCAACCTAGAGGTCCAGCGGGGCTAGCGGAAGGGGCGGGACTTACCAGCTCTATGCTCATAGTTCAGGCACACATTTATTTTCCTGTTGGTTCTTTGCAATGTTAATAAAATATATTGTACGTTAATCGATTTGTAACATTATAAATGTATTCACTGTAACTTTTGATCAACTTAATTTATCCTTGAAAAAGTATAATTTCTTTTTTCTTTCGCCCAAAAAATTAAATAAAAATTCTTACCGACTCCAAACTTTTTAACGGTATTGTTTAATGTTACAAAAGCTTTCTATTTCAGTTAAATTCTGTTCTTTTGAATTTCTGGGTGATTCTCTGAATCGGGTGCCCTTCAAGTCCCCCAAACTTGCTTCAAAGAGTTTCAATTAAAGGAAATTAAAAAATGCTGTCAATTAATAGAACCAGGCGCCTTTGCATTATAATGCAACACAATTGCTTTTGAAAAAAAAAAAAAAAAATTAAAGATAATGGGTTGCCTAAGTAGTAGACAACAAGCATGTTTGCATGTCCTCACTAACCATCATTACATTTTCATTGAATATCAAACAAATAAAAAGTGCAGCTAATGTAATCATATGTTGGTCTAGTGTATTTTCGTTTAGTGTTGTGAATTGAAAAATCAATAATCGCTAATCGAGAATCGTTAATAATCGAAAATCGACTGTAATCGAATCGAATTAACCACCCCTAATATACGTATATATATATATATATATATAAATTAAAGCCTGAAAACCCCATAGCGGGCGGATGTACAATAATACATACAGGATTTGGCACAGATTTGTTTTTATGTGGTTTTGTGAATTGCCAGAGTGCTCTACTGGAATAGTTTGAATAGGAATATTAAGTCATTAAATATAACAATATTTAAATATCCCTGTCAAATGTTAATCACACTGTTTATCACACAACACAGGTTTTGAAACACCATCAAACCATATGAGTGTGTTAACTCTCAGTGGAGGTATTGCTAATCATGTTCTCTGTGTTATTCGGTCTTTGTGGAGAGGTTTAACCTTGACAGTCTTCATGGAAACCAGCATCAGTCCAACCCCGCTGGTGATGGTCCATCCATGCGGACCCGGC